GCTGCCGGCAGTGCCAGGACTCGCCGGGCTTCTGCACCCAGTGCCCGGCGGGCAAGCTCCTCGGCACAACGCCGGGCACGTGTGTGGACCGGTGCGGCGACCGGGAGTTCGCCGATCTGACCACTCCCTCGATGGCTCGCTGCGCGGCCTGCCACAACAGCTGCGCCTCCTGTGAGGGCGGCGCCAAGCCCGAGGACTGTACTGCCTGCTCGCCGGGCCTCTTCCTGCTGGCGGGCGTGGGCTGCGTGGGCGCCTGCCCGAGCGGGTACTTCGTTGAGGAGGGCCCGCTGGCCGGCTCCCAGGCATGCGCGCCCTGCGTGGCAGAGTGCGCCGAATGCACCGGGGCCGATGCCGGCCACTGCACGCGCTGCATGGATGATCGTCTGCTGATGGTGGGCTCCGGCTACTGCCGGCCCGTGGGCGAGGACACCTGCCCGGCCGGGTGGCACGCGGATCTCCCCGGCCGGCGGTGTCTCCGTTGCCCGGATGGGTGCCTCGCGTGCCCGGCCTCGGTGGAGGACTGCGAGCAGTGCAGTGCCGACATGCGCTCGATCCGGCTGCTGGACCGCGAGGCGACGGACGCGGCGCCGGTCGGCTCCGGGCCGCGCACCTGCGTGGCCATGTGCCCTGGTGGGTGGTTCGCTCCCGAGGGCCAGGCTGACGTATGCTCGGCTTGCGACATGGCGTGTGGCACGTGCTCCGGCCCCGGGCCGGACGGGTGCCTGGAGCCGAATTGCGACCAGCCCGGCAGTTGCCCTAAGACGGGTATGTTTGTCGCCCTTATTTTCCTCCCCCCCCCCCGTGACGTATCATGTTGCGTTTGACTGACGACCCCCCCCCCCTCCCCAGGCTCCCGCTCACTCGCACTGGCCATTGCCTTGCCGTTGGCGCTGCTCCTCCTGCTGCTGCTCATTTTGCTCCTGGTTCTTGTTCTTCTGCGGCGCCGGCGGCGCCACGCTGGCGCCAAGGAGGGCGACGCCATCCCAATGCAGTACATTGGCGATCCGGTGCGGTCTCGCTTGCTCGCTTCCACTCGTTTTGCCCTGATGCTGACCTCCCCTCCTCCCCTCCCTTCCCAATGCACGCGCCGCCTCGCAGGAGGACATGACCGTGATGAACACCATGCTCGGTACGATGGCAACAGCCCCCCGCCCGCCCTCCGGGCTCGGCCACATGCATATGCTCTCCTGTCGGCCTCCACTGACATCCCCCCCCCCCCAATTAGAACTGTCTCTCCCGGGACACTTGCTTCTCAACCCCGAGGTGGACTACCGCATTGAGCCCGGCTGCGAGGAGCTCGGCAAAGGCGCTCAAGCGGTGGTCCTGCCGTGCACATTGCTACGTGCGGACCTTTGTACGGCGGCCGGCGGCGATGCCGGTGCTGTGAAGATGGTTCCAACCGGTGCGCATGCCCTCACAGCGCTCGGATTTCCGATCCCCCTGCTGACCCCCACATGCCTGGTAGACTCGCCCTTCCGCACGCAATTCGAGCCGCTGCTCGACCAAGAAATTGCCATCCTCAGCATCCTGCTGGCCGACGGGGGGTCGCCATTTGTGTGCCAGCTGGTTGGCTACTCGGCTGCCCCGAGCAAGGCCCTGGTGATGCCCCACTACCCGGGGCTCCTGTCGGACCTGCTTTGGCCCTCTCGCTTGAGCCCGGCGCAGACCCTGCAAATGGCCGCCGACATTGGTGCGCATGTGACCCTGCGTGCCTGACATCCCCCCCCCCCCTGCCCCCTGTGGCACGGTGCACTGACCGACTACCTCCCCGCGCGCAGCGGCCGGCATGGCGTTCATCCACTCGCGCGGCGTGGTGCACAAGGACCTGAAGCCGGAGAACATCTTCCTCCGGCCGGATCCGGCGGACCCCGGCCGCCTGCAGCCGGTCATCGGGGACTTTGGCGTGGCGCTGGTTCTCAACCGGTTCTCCGTCATCCCGACGCTGGGTAATGTGGCGGCCGGCAGCTTGCCATACGCCTCGCCGGAGACGCTGGCCCGGCTGTACGGCATGACCTTCCCGCTGGCGCCATCCGACAGCAGCGTGGTCTCCCTGCTGAAGGTGGACATCTACTCGCTCGGTGTGCTGCTCTTCGGCTTGGTGGCGGCGGCGCGCCCCTGGACCGGTACGCTTTCCCCGCCTCTCTCCCTCCCTCCCTCTCCCTCTCTCTCTCTCTCTCTCTCTCTCGCTCTTTCTCCTGCTTCATTCAGGGGCTTATCGTGACTGACGTGACCATCTAGGCACTGGTTCGGATGATGTTGCCACTGCGGTGCTGGCCGGCAAGCGGCCGGACATGAATCCCTCTTCTGGAACCCCGGTCCCGGTGTTGGTGGGCGACACGGGCAGCGAGCCGGCCTGGATGGCGGAGTATCGTCAGATCTACCGCGAGGCATGGGCGGCCGATCCTCGCGAACGCCCGTCGGCGGCCAAGCTGGCGGCCACGTTGATTGATCTCGCTGAGAGAGAGTCTCCTGCGGTCAGTCCATCATAGGCGAGTGCCTCCGGCTGACCTGCTTCCATCCTTTCCCGATAGATGTGTGACGCTTCCTCGTTCCCAGACTTGCATCATCATGCAAGCATCTTCCCGACGCGCTGACACAAAATAGACCATTCCACTTTGCAGTGTAAGGTGCTAGCTGGCGGAAGGCGGACAGGTGTGCAGGTGGGAAGTGGCAGAGCCGAGGTGCTGAAGGGGCGAAAGGCAATCTGTGAGAGTGTCCCCGGCATCGTGGCACAACTTTCGGCACAAGTGGCAAGACAAGGACAGCTGTCATGATGTGAGTTGGAAAGGGGAGGAGGGGGGGATAGAGAGAGAGGGGGAGAGGGGGGGGGGGGAGGGGGACAGAGAGAGCTTGGTGTCAGGCCCAGGAGCCAGATGCCTGTATGTCCGATCCCGAGGCACAAAAGGGGACGGGATGAATGGCAGCCTCGGCAACCCCCCGTCGAGGAGAACGGACACAGCCCTCCGACTGTGGACACCGAGGCAGGGCTGGGTTCCGGGATCTCGCCTGAGGGAATGCAGTCACATTGCGGACCATCGGCCCTCGGAGGTGATCACCAACAGGCCCGCCTCCCTCGCAGCACATTGCCCAGCGAAGCTTGCTTGAAAGATCCGCGTCTTGAGATGGTCCCCGACAGAGGCGAGTGCTCGGGGTATCGGCGGATTTGGTCCGGTCCCGCTTGTTGGGTGCCAGCCGGCGGTGGGGACATTCAGGCACATGCGCCTGAGTGGGCACACCCTTCAAGTAACATCCCACAAGGGGGCTGTGCACTTCACCCTCGTGGGCCACTGCTCCGAGGCCGAGCCAGTTCCGGAAAGTCCGAGCCAGCGTAATGGAGCTGGCCCTGGGGCGATTGTCTTCTTTCTTTCCGTTATCGAAGCCGCACCACACGGCTGTGGCACCCTCGGGGCGCGACAACCCCAGCAGATGGAAGTGCCTCTGACAAAAGAGTGCCACTGGCGGTGAACAGACGCACACACACACACACACACACACACACACACACACACACGCCTTTTAGTGGAACCGGATGGCGGGTCGGGGACGGCGCGGCTTGCTGCGGCATCGGCCGAGGCATCTAACGCGGTTGGTAATAGCGCCCCAACGTAACTGACTTACCTGTTAAACTGAGTCTCCAGGAGAAAAGCCAGCCCCTGGGCGAGCCCGCGACGGAGTTTCCTGCCGCGGCTGGCCCGTTCGCCGAGTTAAAGCCCCCCAGCGATCGAGCCCGCCAGTGCCTTTGCCACCTCAAACAACGCTTCTCCGCTCGGCACATGCCGGGGTGGACCACAGCCGCGAGGTTCCCCCGACCAAGGCCACATATGCCCAGCTGCAAGGGGGGGGGGGGGGGCATCCGACGACCCGTGTGGCCTTCGGGGATCGCTCCCTTTGTGGCCTTCGCCTGCCCGGCAGCCAACGGGGAGCGGGGGGTGGAGGGCCCCTTGCACCGCGAAACCGAAGGCCTTAGCGACAATCATCTGATGGCCGGCCGTGTGGACTTGGGCAGCATGGTGCGAATGGCTCGGCCTTCGAGACGCGCCTCGGTGGGCCTGCCTTCCCGAGGCTGCTTGCTCCCCTGCTTTCCTCCTGGTCGGACCTGAGGTCGCCTGGCCCGAGTCATGTCGGCCGCCAAGGGCGATGGTGACACTTGGGCGGCCAGTTCGTCCCTCGCCGACGCGGTGCCAGGAGTCCGGGCGCTGGCCGATCTTCGGCAGGACTTGACCGGCCAAAGTCCCCGGCGCGGACACGAGCTTCATGATCAGGGCGCCCATCGTGGGTGGCCGTCGCTTCGCCCCCTCCAGCCCGTGGGGAGGAGCAAGCCCCGGAAAGCAGCCACAAGAGTGGCATGTCCCTCTCGCCCATCCTCCCTCTCGGCTTTTCTTTGGGTTTTCCCTCTCTCACTGTCTCGAAGGGCCATCGGATGCCTCGGAAATAGGCGGCGACACGCGTCCGAGTAGCCCCGCCCACAGGATCCCGTCGCCCTTTCCCCTGGACCAAAACCCTCCTCCAGCAAAGGCGGGCCGCCATCGAGAGCAAGGCCCAGGGGGGGGGGGGGGGGGGGGGGACACCCCTTACGCCGCTCGTTTCCCCTATCGGCAGAATGGTCATCTTGAAGACCTCCTCTTCCTTCGCAGTGCATTGCCCATGGCCTGACCGCTTGCTGGTCCAGGGTGAGCCACTGGGGGCACCAGCAGCGCGGGTGGCCCCTGTCCAGCGAGCACATGCTCCCTTGGCACTCGTGGGAGGGGCCCAGCGGCGGCGAGAAGCCGGGGTGGCCAGTGTCCGGGTCTCTCCGTCCATCCGGCGCAGGCTTAGCCCGTGGCGGCTCTCGGCGCCCGGGTCGAGGGTGTCCATGCTGCGAAGCTCGGAGCGAGGGGAGTCCGGGGCGAAAAGCGTGAAAAGGTAAATACCCTATCGACGGGCGGAATCCCATGCGTGGGAGATTAGTCTAGTGGTATGATTCTCGCTTAGGGTGCGAGAGGTCCCGGGTTCGATTCCCGGATCTCCCCGTTTCTTTTGGCCCCC